ATGGCCCGAGCCCGCCCGCCGCCGGGGCTTCTGCCGCTGCTCGCTCGGCTGCTGCTGCCGCTGCTGATGCCCGCCGGCTGCTGGGCGCTGGAAGGTGAGCGGCGTCGGGGTCCCGCGCGCTATCAGGGAGACCTGCCGTGTGGGGCCACGGACTTGAGCACACGTCCAAGGAGGCTCTGGGCTCTTGCCGGCTCCGCAGCCTTGCTTGGGGGAACTGCTGGCAGCTGGACTCAACACCATCTCCCAAAAGCCGCAGTTCGGCCGTGGGTTTTGTGGGAATAGCCTACACTCTCAGCAGAGAAACGAGACCCTCGGGGTTTCGCACCTCGGAAGGCGAGGAAATGTGGGCGACCCAGCAGACAAGGCAGGGGCTGCGGGACTGGACGCTTGGGCGGGGTGAAGCGGGACTCCACGGGTTGGGGGGCTGCGCTGGATGGGAACCCGTTGGAGTTAACTGTGAGCGTGAGTGTGTGCACCCGGCTTTGTCAGGGGATGGCTGCGGGGGTGGAGAGCCGAGGGGCCTGTCATTGTTTATGGTTTCTCAAGTGCCAGCTACACATGAGGTGTGTGTCTGTCGTACACATTCTCGGACCCACCCCACCCCCACTTCTAGCAAGACTCTCTGGGGGCTTGGGCTTCCACTGAACCTCACAAATGAGGGTTTGCCCGGGTAGCTCCCGAGCCGAGTGGCTACTAGTCATCCGCGGCGGGAAAAGGTCAGCCTTGTCTGTGAATTCTGTGAAACCTACTAAGAGTGCTGCTGCTGCGGAGAAAAGATTGAACTTGAACAAACAAACAGTCCGAGTGTTACTGGCCCAGACAAGAGAGCTCACACTTACGCCACTTGACATGAACCCACAGGGAACACCGGCACAGGTCACTAACACAGGCTAGAGTCACATACAGTTTCCCTGGTGTTACAAAAAATTGTAAACCCTTTCAGTGAGGAGTGAAAGCTTCCCTTATTGTGGAGGCGGGGGGGGGGGGCACGGAATTTGAGGGAAAACTGGTTTATAGGCAGTACTTAAGGTTTGGTGTCTTGGACAGATCTCGACACTTTTAGTTGAGGAACAAAAACGTGAACCCTATGAAATTTGGTTCCGTCCTTAAATTCACACTGTAAACTTAAAGATTGGAATTTAAAAAATCGCTAAAACAGTTCTTAGAGGTTTCGGGTGCTTTGGAATTTCCTCCAGTGGGGAAATTGTCCCCATTATTTTGGAGCCCACTGTGCTGACAGATTTATTCACCTGGGTAGACACATGCAAATTTAGACAGAGACACCACCGAGGTTGCACCCACACTTACACACACTCACCCACATGTGTGTGATAGGATCTCAGGCGTGAGAAACCAGTGTAGGGCTTTGTTGTTGATTGCCTTAAGGGTGTGAGCCAGGGAGCCTATGGAGTTCCCAGGTCTGTGACTGTCTTAGCTCAGGAGAGGTAACATGGGCACATGCACTCTGAGACATACACTTAGCAGAGCTGTGTGTCACCTGTCCTATGGCCCCTTTTGTGGAGTGTGGTAGGTAGTGGTGCAGAGCTGAGTGTGTGGGGAAGTGTGGCTTGGGGAAGATGAGCAAAGCTACCTGAGGAGGCCCTTCCCTTCCTCCTGTTCTTCCCTCACAATCCTCAGACCCACTGAGGCAGGCCCTAGCGAATAGCTGGTCTCCAAGTCTTCTGGGCCAAGGAGTGACTGAGAGGCCCTTGTGATCAGCTGTGAAAGGGAGTGAGAGCAAGTGCTAGGCTGAGGGACTCCAGGCCAGTGAAGGTGTCCCTGGAAAGTAGCGGAGCCTACAAGTGTGGCTTCCATCATTGTCTTCATTTCTGCAATGCCTCAGACCCTGTGAGAGAGAGAGAAGAGATAGAGGTGTTGAGTAGAGCCCACCCTCGTGTCTACCTGCTTCCGGTTTCTGCTCTCACATGGAAACCATACCAACCAGACTGAATTGTTTGTGTGTGGACAGGACTTAGCCCTGTTGTTGCTATTCAAGGACTAGCTGTTGTTATTACTATTATTACCCCAGGGTGGCTCTTAGAGGAGCTGTGAGAAGTGTCCTTCTCCTGCTGGAGGGGCTGAAAGGAAGGAATGAGGAGGAAAAAGCAGGACTGGAAAGCTGAGGCATAGGAGGAAAGAGATAAAAGAGACCAGACCCCTGACTAAATAGCAGCTGTCTTCTGGGGCTTGGAGTGAGTGATGGGCGGACTTCAGATCCTGGAGACTGTGTCCAGTGTGTCCTCTGATGATCCTTCACCAGCTCCCAAACTTTTCAGGTGGTTTGCCCTTGTGTTCGGCTCTCTGCAACAGTGTCATTGCGTGTAGACTCAGGGTCTCTGAGCTGGGGTGCTGCCCATGGTGTACCCACAAGTTGGGTGTTGCCTGACACCAGGTTCCTGTTCGTTCTCTGCACACTTGGAGTTTACACAAGATCCCAGGATCTCATCTTAGTTTTCCATTTGGGCAGAATCAGGATGTTACTAGTCCTTTCTAGCCGAAAAATTGCCACTCCCCCCTTTACGCTTCGACTGCCCCACAGCGCAGGCGCGAAACACACACACACACACACACACACACACACACACACACACACACACACAGAAACTGCCCTAGGAACTATGAGGCCACTTCATCGCTCACTTTTCCTTTAAGCATTTTTCTCTGGTTCCCCCATAGCCCAGACCATTCTACCAGTCAGGACCATGAATAAGTGGGAAAGTGGTGTTCAGTGGGGTGAGACAAGCTGAGAACGGGACCTGAGATGAGGGCTGGTGTCTGAGCCACAGGTCAGTTGTATGCATTTGAGAAAGTCTGAAAAGAGAAAGAGCTCCAGCTTGTAAGAGGTGGGGTGGGGACATCCCACTTAGCCATGCTAGTTAAGTCCTCACTGCAGAGGAGCTGGCCCTGAGGGAGAAACAGCAGCGAGCCTCTGTCCTCTGAGGTTAGCCGGTGTGACCCTGAGAATGCGAGAACTGCCAGGGGTCACAGCCCGGGATTATTGTGGATTGCTTTACCACCTCTTTCTCTTGTCTCTGGGATTCCTCCCCCCCCCCCCCCCCCCCTGTGGCCCCCCACCCCTGTTCTTATTTGTCACCAGAGCTTCAGATCTGAGGAGAGACAGCAGCAGGCATCTAGGGGAACCAATTTGTTTCTCACTGCCCTCCTCTCGGCCGGGGCTGCCACCACCGCTGCCACTTTGGCCCAAGCAGCTGAGAGCTGAAGCCTGGGTTGTTGTGGGCAAGGCCTCCGCCACTAGCCTTCCACTAATCAAACAGCAGAAGAGGCTGAATCACCAGGCCTGCATAGTTTGAAAATTGTAGGCCTGCCTGTTGTGCTGAGTCAAACTGGTTTGTCAGGCTTGGGCAGGGGGAGGTGGCAGCTGGGTACCTGATGGGGTGGGAGTGGCCCCTTGGCCCAAGGGCTATCCTAAGGCCAAGTCTCCCATGGCCTTCCGCCTCAACTCCTGGTTAGACCACTGGACCAGCAATCCCAAGGAGAGATGGAGGCCTCCTGCCAGGGCCAGCTGTCTATGGTCCAGGCTGACTGGCAGAGCCAGCCAGGGTGGGAACATTGAGGCCCTTGGGCTCCCTGCCCTGTGTTTCTCCCCTCTTCTCCCTCTCAGGTTTATTTAATTATAAATCCCCATGATCTGAGGGGAAGAATAAAAAACAAAATGTGTTCTCTGTTCGGAGATGGTCCCCTCCCCAGCATCCCCTATGTGGGGACCAAGGATGTGAAAGTAGCCCTGGGGAAGCCAGGCAACTCAAAACAAACCAAAAAGAAACAACAGCAGAAACCTCCATTACAACTACCTGCTTACGTGTGCACACACACACACACACACACACACACACATCCCCCTCAGATCCTAGAGTAGGATCCCCCAAATCCTTGTCGGCTCAGGCCTTCCCAGCTGGTACATGCACACACAAAAACTGACTGGAATAAGAAATGGGGAGCCTTGATCCCCTGCTTGGGAACAAGGTAGGGACTGTTGGGATGGGGATGGCAGGGGTAGTTTTCTCCAACCTGTCACAGACTTCAGGGCACCCCTTTCTGCCCAGACCCTGCCCTCCTCTGCCCACCCTGCCCCCTGCTTTCCTAACCTTAAACTATGACC